TTTACTTTTGTTGGGTAATGTTCCAGGTATGTGTTTTGAAACTTCTCTCTTGGAATCCAGTTTGTTTTTAAAGTTACATTCTACAATTGTAGCCGTACATGTGAAAATGTGGGAATATAAGTTATTAACAATATTGTGTTTGGATGTTGTTGGGAATAATGTTAACAACTGATACATCTGATTTCTTTGAGGCATTTCTGTGTCTTGCTCTCTTTTATGTTTCTAGCAGTTCCAAAAGATTGTGACAGAAGATAATGAGAGACTTGCTGTCTTCCAGAAGTTATTAAACTTAGTTTGTAAAACCTATTGCCATTAATTAGGTTATGCCTTTAGACTATGGCATAGTCTAATCAGATATAGACAATCATTAGACTATGATTATTATTCCAATTATATTTGCAGGGCAATGGGTTCCTCATCCAGGGTTCGAGGGTAATTTGAAATTAACACAGAGTCACTTTCAGTCTTTAGTTGTTACTTCTATATCATTTCCATATGAATATCTGATCCTGGTATTAGCAGCTAAAAATTAAATGTTTCCCGTAATTTCAGTACAAAAAAAGATCAAAAATCAGATTTTATACCTTTGCATTATTAACCTCTCTTTAGTTCATGTCCCCAAATGAGTTATACTAAAATAATCACAATTCCAAATATATTACAGTTACATTTTTCAATGGCTACACTATTATGAGGGGTTGGGATATGAGTAAATGTCAGTCATGAAAAAAAATTATATGATGAATCCAGTGATGTGCGGTGAGGTTCATGGCCGGTGAGGCAAGCGGGCAAAAGCCACCCTATGTCTGCCAGAGCCAGCCGTCCCCGAAGCCCCTACGCGTCCCACTCTATGGTGCACCTTTCTGAAAGTTGCCTCCGAAGCCCCAACGCGTCCCGCTCTATGGCAGAAAGCCACACTGGCACTTTAAAACCATTTTAAAACCATTTTAAAACCACTTTAAAATGTCTGCTCTATGGCTGGTTCGGTGGCATGGCTTTAAAGTGCCGGTGCGGCTTTCCGCCATAGAGCGGGATACGTCCTGCTGTATGGCTGGCACAGCGGCATGGCTTTAAAGTGCTGGCATAGTCTCGCTCTATGGTGAAAAGCCGCACTAGCACTTTAAAGCCATGCCGCCATGCCGGCCATACAGCGGGACGTGTCCCACTCTACGGCAGAAAGCCGCGCCGGCATCGCTTTAAAAAATAAAAAATAAAGTGCCAGCCCGCGCGCCAGCAGAGGCAGGTAAAACACACACACACATAAATTAATTACAATAATACAAATTACAATTATTTACAAATTACAATAATTTTGAATTCCTCCCCCCTCCCTCCGACCCACATACCTTTTCCAGTTGTGTCACAGAGGATTTCAACTCTCTTCTTATCTGCCATGATGAAAATATAAAAAATGTAAAAAGAAAAAGGCAAGAGCTGCTGGTCAGGCTGGGCTAGCTGCTGCCAGAGTCCCCAGTGGATGACTCTGCTTAATTATTTTTTAAAAGCCTCTAAAAAAAGTGCCCTCTGCAGGAGGAGGCAAGAGAACCACATGCCTCCTTTGCATAAGGAATTTTCCCCCTTTTAACCCTTGCTTAATTCTGCTCAAGTGATCATAAAGATAGACTAAAAGAAGCATGTGGTTCTCTCGCCTCCTCCTGCAGAGGGCACTTTTTTTAGAGGCTTTTAAAAAATAATTAA